CTTCTGCATTTGCAATCATTCTCCAAGATTTCTTTAATTAAACACCTTCTGTCTTTCAACACCCCAAGATAGCAAGGCACTGAGAATCCAGCTCTCCTATTAGAAGATTAGAGATATTGAATCAAACCATGTCCAATGTTTGCAGTTCCTTATTTATTTATGTAGGAAATTTATATAGTCACTCTACTTGCTCACAACCAATCGAGGCAGCTTACTGGCAATAAAATACAATATAGAAAATAATAAAAAAACTATATCCTCCCTCTGGCAACAACACACATTCAAATAAACCATTTGATAGGCTCCATCCCGCTCTGGGTTACTTAGGCCTGCTGGCAAAACCAGGCCTTCAGGGCCTTTCATAAGAATGTCAAAGTGGGGGACAGTCTAATTTCTGAAGGGACGATTTTCCAGAGGGTGGAGCCACCATGGAGAAGGCCCTTCTTTTGGGTCCCACCCAATGTACCTCCTCAGGGGATGGGACTTTGCCATTTTTATGGTTTTAATATTTACTATTTATAAATTATTTCATAAATGTAATAAAAAGGGACACTAATTTTATGAAGATGTATTTAACACGGTATCAGGGGGATATCCTTTTTAGATAGGTCTGGGGTCTTTGAAATGTGAACGTTATAGAGTTTCTGAAGTATTTTTTTTTAAAAAAAAATCATGCTCACTCTCTATTTATCTACCTATTTCCAATGTAACCTATTCTTTTAATAATACAAAAGAATTGGTGAAGGGAAATGAAATGTATTCTTCCTTCCATCTCACCCTTTACTACAAGCTTATGCTGACTAATTTTTGATTCTTTTGAATAATTGTTAAAGAGTAATGATTATCTCACGTGTAATGGATTTTTGCATGTTATCGAGAGTCAATTGCCACAAAATGCACAACCACTTATTAAAAGTTGTTAGATATTATTGTGGCCTTTGGCAACTGCATGAAATGGAAACCTGGCAAAATCCATTAGAAATGGGGATATGATTAAACATAGTTTATGAACCTGGATTAACATGCAGCAACCATCCTTAGAATTGATAAACAAGATCCTGATGTTTATGTACATTTTGCATCTCAGGATCAACAACCAACAATAAATATCTATGGAGATTCTTAGTCATCCAGGTCATGGTTGTCCCAAAAGTGATTTTTCAAAAGGCAACTGGACTTTCTTGGTTTTTCCTCAAAGATGTTTTGCTTCTCATCCAAGAAGCTTCTTCAGTTCTGACTCTGACCAAGAACGGAAGAAGATTCTTGGATGAGAAGTAAAATGTCTTCGAGCAAAAACAAAGAAAGTCCAGTTGCCTTTTGAAAAGTCACTTTTGGGACAATCAACAATGAAAGAACCAGCACTCAGGAAACATGTTGCAGACTATAATTTGCTAACGTAGCAATGAAAATTTCAGAGAAGATATTCAAGTGTCCCCATGTGACAATGTACATGATGATAAGGGTTCAATGGAGAACACACAACCTACTGAAACAGAGCCATGGAAATTCTGACAATCACAACCAGCAACCACAATTTTTCTTTTCTTTGAGTATCAGTTCCATATTTTGTACTCTGGTTTTTAGCTTTGGAGTTCCCTGCTCAAAACAGATTCCTGCATTCTGTCAACTGGCGAAGCGTTCCTGACCTGCTCTCAAGTTGCCATAGGCAAGGGGGATCTAGGACTTTTAGTCTCTAACTTCATTCTCCTCAGGCATTTCTTCTCAGGTGATTCTCCAACTGTTCCATTTGAAATACTAGGTGAATATTTCACGCTGCAATCCTAGCATTGAATTTAGTGAGACTTACTTTTGAGTAAACCAACTGTTCCTCCCTCTATTTGGGGGATGGGGAGAGAAGAAGGAAGGAAGTCAGGCATTTTGGCAAATTCTTTTACACCTCTCTCCTTTGGCTGGATTTCTATTACATCCCCTCTAGCTAATTGGTTGGGGGCTAACTGTCACAGAGGGCGGAACACCCAGACGAACCCTCTTTCTGTGAATGGGCCATGTCAAAGGTTGTGGGATGAAGGGGCTGGTGGCCCATTCCCCAGGGCAAATGACTGGAGGCCTTCCAGCTGAGGAGATAAGTCGGGGGAGAATCGCCCGAGGAGAAACGCCTGAGGAGAATGAAAAGTCAGAGACTAAAAGTCCCATTCCGGGGCAAGGGGGATGGGAAAGCAAAGTTCACAGCTGCATCAAGGACTTGGTATCTCAGTCCAAACAAAGCCATTCCTACCCATATGCCAAGGACATCTCCATGGAAATACCTAGAGTGACTTTTACAACCTGCCAAACTGCTTCGTTGGGGAATGTGGCTGATGAAACATATTGGGGGGAGGGGAAAAGAGGGTCAGAGGCAATGCAGGAATTAACTGAGGTCAGAGTTGGCTCCACCTGGTCAGTGCCGACACGAAGCTCCCAATAAATAATTGGATTTCTTTTGAAGTTTGGCTTGAGGCTCATGAATTAATTAGGGCATCTGTCGGAACCCTGACACATTCACTTATAAGTGCAATATTTGATTTGATAGGCAGTGTCAGATTTGAGAGGCAGTTTGGTCTAGTGATTTAGGCACCAGGTTAGAAAGTGGGAGGTTATGAGTTCAAGCCTCACTTTATCCACAAAAACCCACTGGTTAACTTTGAGCCAGTCACTCTCTCTCTCAGCCCAACCCACCTTCTTGCTTTTGTGGGCAAAATAGGAATAACAGAATAACAGAGTCGAAGGTCTTTTAGTCCCACTCCCTGCTCAAGCACAAAACCCTACACCATTTCAGACAAACGGTTGTCCCATCTTTTCTTAAAATCCTCCAGTGATGCAGCACTCACAACTTCTGGAGGCAGGTCGTCCCACTGATTAATTATTCACACTGTCAGGAAATTTTTCCTTAGTTCTAGATTGGTTCTCTGCTTGATTAGTTTCCACCCATTCCTTCTTGTCCTGCCTTCAACTGCTTTGGAGAATAGGTTGACCTCCTCTTCTTTGTGGCAATGCCTCAGATATTGGAAAACTGCTATCATATATATCCTATCCTATCCTAACCTATCCTATGATATCTATCATATCATATCACACCATATTATATAATTTCTATCATATGCTATAATAGGAGGAGGAAGGGACACAAATAAAATAAGTAAATAAATAAATAAAGATTTGGAGGGGTAAATTATTAAACTGAAACCAATGGGAAATGCTACTTTCTGAATATCAGTATAAATGTATTAAACTCAAGTCAATGTCTAATGCAATTTTTTAAATATCAGCATTAATGTTGTCATCATTTCATTCTTCAACATTCTTTGACTATAAATGTGAATAAAACCTCCAAAAAATTTTTTGGCTTTTTTGTCATTACTTAATATGTAAAAGATGTGTCTTCTTCTGTACTAAACAACTCTATTCCTTTTATATGGAAAATAGGAACCTGCTCCATTGTGAGGAATCAACATGAATTTCAACACTTGAGACTGCTTTTAATTGCCAATGTCCCTCAGATTACTTTTATTAGCATTTGCTCATTTGAACAAAAAGCTGAACCTTCAGTTGAATCACTTATTCTCTCACTAAAAACAAAATAATTTTCTCCTACAGGAATCACCATATTATTATTATTATTTTTGTTTTAGCTAGGCCAAAACATTAAGCGTCGTGCATACAGGTATTTAAATTCAGCAACAATTAAGGTATCTATTTGGTTCTATAGTAACTCTTGAACCCCAGGGAGTTTGGCAGAAAGGGATAATTATGGCTCCATAAGATTCATTGCTACAAGTTTCATTCCTCCTTTCTTCTTTTCCAGAACATCTGTTCAATCCTAGTGATAGTCAGTATACAAATTTGCACACACAAGGAACTTCAAATAGAAATTGATGGGATTTCTGATTAGGTGCATTATCAGATATCAACCTTGGCTATTAATCATTGAATGAACCACTGAAATACAAACTTCCTTATGGACAGGAGACAGAAATATTTTCACTATAACAAATGCCTGAAGATGTTGTTCCTTCTGATGCTCTTGGTGCAGAAAGCAGTTACTCTGAGCTGCCCTGCCAGTGATGCTTTCCCGATTCCCCATGAGTGGTACCAGCCTGGTGATCTCATCGTGGGTGCGATGGTGTCTCAGATAATTCACTCCTTTTTTGAAATTGAATTTAAGGAACATCCTTCTCTAAAACCTTATCCTTTAACAGAGTAAGGATTTTTTTCGCTCTCCATTCATTTTCTAATCTTAGCCAGATCTCCAATAATTGCTTATATGACTAATAGCTCTTTGAGAATAAATGCATGGTTTTGTATATAAACTTACACTTGTTTCCTTGTCTTTCAAATTTATCAGATTGTGGGAAAACAAATCATTTTCATTGGGTTAAAATCTAAATCATGAAATGTGTGAAACTATTCTGAAATAAGTCTTTTGGAGAACATTTAGGGAATGCAAGATAATTAAAACTATCTAGTCTGTGCAGTCACTCCTCTCATAACTTACATGTATTAAAAGAGTGATATTTGCTGGTAGTATTCTATTTTGTGCCAAATTGATAGAAATAAATGTGAGAGGTTGAAAAAAAAATCACGATTTTGTTCTATACTTATTTGTTGCAAATCATGGACACACTTTGCATTGTTGAAAACTATACAAATTATTGAGTGTTTTACAAAGACTCTCATCTTCTCACTTACAACAGAGACAGAAAATGGTTGCTACTCATATATCAATGCTTTCACCATAAAAGAATTGTCAACTTATTTTGTTCAATGGGGGTGTTTAAACTATTTGCAGTGTAATAACCAAATTCTACCAGCATGCCCTCGCCTTGGCCTTTGCTGTGAAGGAGATCAATGAGGACTCCCAGATCTTACCTAACGTCACTCTCGGGTTCCACATCTATGACAGTTACAACAACCCAAGGATGACCTATCGCACCACCCTGGACTTGCTTTTCAAATCCCAGGAATTTGTCCCAAACTACAAATGTGATAGCCAGAAGAATCTCATGGCCATCATTGGGGGACTAAGTCCTGATACATCATCCTTTATGGCAGAAAGTGTACATGTCTACAAAATTCCACAGGTAGTTTGGGGTGGAGTGAGAGAGAAAAATATTTTGTAATTGATAGTAGATACTCGTTGACTTTCTGCAGGAATTCAATTAAATACACATTTATCACCCCTCATCTATTTTTCCCATAACTCAATAGACTGGCTCAAGGTAATCCAATTAAATCAAAATCTTTTATTACAATCTTACATGTGTTTTGACAGCCTTCTTCTTACTACAATTTGCTTGGTGTAGGATAAAAGTAGTTTAGTGTAAAACTCAACTGTTTTTCTTAGCAATTGTTGAAGGATTGGTGCTGTAGGATTCGTTAGAGTTTTGCCATTACTTTCTGCAGGACTTCAATTTTGCTCTCTTTGCTCTCCCTTCTGCAATTTTTCCCACAACTCAAAATGTTGGCTCAAAATAATCAGTCAAGAAACTCTAAATCTTTTATTGCAATTGTAGATTAGAAAATTTAAATCACAAATTACAGTACAAAATTAATTTTATTTAAGAGGGTTATCTGTTGTTGTGGTTTGACCAATATCTATGGTGAAATCTGGAGTTGTGACAATAGGAGGATAGAAAAGACTAGCTAGCACATAGAACATAGAATAATAGAGTTGGAAGGATCCTTGGAGGTCTTCTGGTCCAGCCCCCTCTTCAAGCAGGAGACCCTATATCATTTCAGATAAATCACTGTCCGGTCTCTTTTTGAAAGCCTCCAGTGAAAGCCCCCAAATTTCTGAAAGAAAGGTGTTCCATTGGTTAGTTGTTTTCACAGTTAGGAAATTTCTCCTTAGGTTACTTCTCTCCTTGATTAGTTTCCATCCAGTGTTTCTTGTCTTGCCTTTTAGTGCTTAAGAAAATAGTTTGACACCCTCCTCTTTGTAGGAGCCCCTCAAATATTGAAACACTGTTATTGTATCTCATGGTTTAAGGGAGGATCTCCTTTTAGCCACTTCCTGCCCATCCCCAACTCAAAGGTATCAGCATTTTCACTGTAGCCCTCAACTCAGCTCCAGATTCCACCAAGCCCCTCACAATAGGTGACAACTTATCTTGGTATGTCTTGGTTGGGTCTGATAGTAATAACTGAATTTAAAACTCAACTGATTTGCCTGGAAATTATTGAAGGATTAGGGCTACATGGTACTTTTGGAGATCTCTAAAATAATTGTAGTAAATGAAGACATGATTAACCCAGAATCTCATGGGCATAGTCTTTCATGTATCAGTATTTTATTTTATGTGCTACAAATTAGGGAAGAAGGTAAATCTAGCTCTCAAGAATCCTTTCCTTAGGCTGAGAAGAGCTCACAAGCTCAGATAGTTAACAAGCTTCCAGATGTTCTAAGCAGATGAACATACTGGAACTCTGTATTAGGAAACTGAGTGTGGTTGTAATCAAGTTATATTTCAGATGAGAAAATATTTCATCATGGGATTTTAATCGCTTCTCTTTTTCATCAGAATTGTCATAATCTATGTAGACTTGGACACAAACGTTCAATGTACGGAGATCTTCATTAAGTTTCTAACCAGCAGTCTTCTTCACATTTTCCCCATAAATAACAAATTTCTCTTTTTCGCTTGTTTAGTTGACTTATAGTTCCTTTGCCCAAGAAGACTTTCAGATTACTGAGTTATTTCCGCTTTATTGCATGGTCCCAAAAGAGGAGCATCAGTATACTGGACTTGTACAACTTCTTCTCCATTTTGGATGGACGTGGATTGGACTCTTTGCTTCTGAAAATAAGGAAGAATGTTTTTTGCAGAAACTGCAGCCATTGCTTTCACAGAACAGAGTCTGTTTAGCTTTCACACAAAACATTCCACAACATCTCAACTTTGAAGTCTTATCCAAATTGCTTAATTCATTCTCAATTATTTCTGTTAAACTGTTAGATAAGAAAGCAAATGTTTTTCTTGTCTATGGAGAAACAATCACAATAGTGTGGGTGAGAACTATTATGTTTCTACATGATCCTGAAAATAAAGAGAGTGCATTATATAGGAAGGTTTGGATCCTGATGAATCCAATTGATTTCATTCTGATGGGAACTCAAAGGAGTTGGGATCTCCAGATGTTCCATGGGGCTCTTTCCTTTACAGTGAATTCAAGAGACATTCAAGGCTTTAAAGAATTTCTTCACGTCATCAAACCTTCTACCCGCAAAGATGAATTTCTTCAACATGTTTGGGGGCGATTGTTTGAATGTTCATTTTCAAATACAGAATTATCTGAAACTTGTACTGGAGAAGAGAATTTGGAGAATCTGCCTTCACCTTTTTTTGAATTTCAGATGACTGGCCAAAGCTACAGTATCTACAATGCTGTTTATGCAGTGGCGCATTCTTTGCATGAGGCAGTGAGATCAAAATCCCAACCAAGAGAGATTCGAAGGGTTGAATTTCCAAATCTGCTATCTTGGCAGGTAATCTTTCCATGCCACACCTATCGTGTATTTCAATGATTATCCACAATCATCCACAATCAATCAATCACCAATCAATGCCTGGAATGCACTACCTGACTCTGTAGTTTCTTCCCCAAACCCCCAAAACTTTATCTTTAGACTGTCTACTGTCAACCTCAGCCTATTCTTTTTCTTTTGTAAAAGTTTTTTTTTAATTTTTTACACAGACAAACAAACAAACAAACAATGCATATTGGCCAAGTCACAAATTTATACAATTGTTAGTTATCTCCAACACAATTTATATATTTTACTTTTTGCCATAATTTTTATTTTATTTTCCTAGTTTTTTCTAATAACCAATATACCGTTCACCCTAATCTCTAATCTTAATCAAATTAAATTTTTCCCTTACTTTCTCCAAGTTAAAACCCTCAAATTTGAAAGTAATCATTTTTCTAATAATTAACCTTAACTCTAAATCATCCTATTGAAATATTTCCCCATTGCATCCTTTTCACAACATAATATAATTTCCAGTATTTCCCTAAATTCCCTTATTCCAATCACAAATATTTTTCTTTGTCAATTTATCCAAATATTACAATCCAATATCTTACTAAAGTCACTTAAATATATAACATTAAAAACATTCATATCTTTTCCATTGCTTTTTCAGATATACATGCAATCCCTTCCTATTAAGCAATAAACCAAATTATTTTGCACAATACATTATCATAAATCTTACTTCAATGCATTTATAGTTCTATTTCTCAATTCTCATTATTTTTAATGCAAATCCAATTTTCGATTGCTTTTTCAAATATATATATTTTCTATACCTCTTCAACAATATCTTAATCACTTCTTATTAAACAGTAAATCTAATTAATTTTCATAATACAATATAGTTTCCGATTTTTTAGTTAAATTCCAAAGTTACAATTAAAAATATTCCAAATATTACAATCTCATATATTGAACTTATTTGTATTTATAAATCCTATTTCAATTCAGTTATAATTCAAAGTAATTATCCATTGCTTTGTACATAATTTAAACAGAATTAATTTTCAGCTTAATTTCAAATGTTTTAGTTTCATTATTACAATTAAAAACATTCCAAGTATTACAATCTCTGCTATTGATTTTTCTAAAATTCATTTATATCTATAAATCTTACTTTAATTCATTTTTAGTTCTAAATGTATACAGCATATTTCTCTTTTCCCTTTCCATCAATTATTTCTTTCTCCTTTTCTCCCATTTTTTAATATTTTCTCCCCCTACCTTTTTCCCTCCTCCATTTTAAAATCCTGAAGTCTTCTATTTCACCCTGTATTTTCTTCCTTCTCATTTGTAGTTTCTTTATCCACTTGTGTGTATTCTAACGTAGTTTCTGGTTCATCAAGTTTAGGTTTTCCATGCATCATTATAATCATTTTATTTAGTTCTGTTTTCAGTGGTATACGCATCTTTTTAATAATTTCAATTAGTTACTGCGTCATTTTATTATATCTGGGTTGTTGTTATTCCAATTTTAAGTTTTGTTATAATCCACCTTCTTTAATTGTCAAGGTCGAACAACTTGTGGACAAACAAATCCTCCTTAAAAGTTCCCACTGCTCTTATCACTTTAAAAGGATTTTTTGTTTCCAAAATAAAAGTTCAATGTTGTAATGTTCTTTTTTTGCCTGCAGATGTCTCTCTCCAATCCACAATTCCAATCAACAGCCTAAGAAAGTATCCATTTTGTTTAAAATCCACGTTACCGATCTTTACCAATTTTTATCTTTTTCTTCTTAATTTTATAGTTCCCCAGTCAATTTAGGATCCAAATTCAAACTGAATCCAGTTTTTTTTAAAAAAAGAATCTTCTATTACAAGGCTTTAATTTTAAGTTTCCCTTTGTCCTTTCTTCAGTAGTCAACAAAAATATTTTTAAATTCTTTCCAATCCTCTTCATACCTATTATGGGTTTTTTTTCCTTCAAATTTTTTAATTATCTCCACACATTTTAGTTCAAAAATCAAGTTTCATTTCAGGCTTTGCCACTTTAAACTTCCACTTTATTCTTCTTCCTTCATTTCTCCCACACCCATTAGCTGCTGTTATATCTCTGGGGCACCTTTTAACAACTTAAACGTATTTCTTTTTTGCCTATGAGCTGGCAATCACTCACCCAACATCAATACTCCGTTCAAATCACCGCTCCTGCTCAAAACTTGCCCCATCTTTGTGACGGCCGCAGTGGCCGCTGCCCCCGCTGCCAAGTCAAAGAGTTTCCTCTGACCTCCAAGAAACTTGCCTGTTCCATTTGGTCGTCCGAGGTGCCTCTCCTTCTTCTCCGTCCCTACAGGACAGATCTGGTCCCAAGACCCCTCGACAGCAGTTTGTCAGCCTGGGATTTCACAAGGCTCATCAGAGCCCACTATTCCCCGTCTGTCTCACCACGATCCTTCCTGTCAAACTGACCTCACCCCATTCCTAAGAAGTCTGTAAGGGACATGCATAAGTGCACCAATGTGCCTACCATCAATGTCCTCTTTTATTGTATCCATTTCATGTATTCATAATCATGTTTATACTTATATCTGTTATCTTATATATGTTTGACAAATAAACAAACAAACAAACAAACAAATAAATAAATAAAATCTAATATAGCTTATTTACCCTGGTCTATGGCTACAAATCTATAGAGAGACTGAGGCAATAGAGCTATTAATTTTATAAAATAAGAGGATGAACATAAACTGGATCTTAACTAATTTCAGGATAGTCAGTGGGATTTACTGTATGCATCAATTTTCATTGTATAAATAACTTTTCAACTCTACATAGATTTGGCCTTTCTTGTGAATTTATCCAACCAGATTTCAAGAAGAATTCAATTGCATTGTGTCTGAAGGCAGTCTTTCTTCTTTTTGTGCCCAAAAAAACATTTCTGAAATATAGATATTTCACTTTTCTTATTAGCTTGTGAATAATGATTCTCATCAGAGCCATGGTGGCACAGTTGTTAGAAAGCAGTACTGCAGGTTATTTGTACTGGCTGCCAGTTGCCAGCAGTTTGGCAGTTCGATGCCCACAGGTTCAAGGTTGACTCAGCCTTCCATCCTTCTGAGGTTGGTCAAATGAGGAGCCAGATTGTTGGGCGAAAATGCTGACTCTGTAAATTGCTTAGAGAGGGTTGCAAAACACTGTGAAACACTATATAAGTCTAAGTGCTGTTGCTATCCAAAATTATACTCAGCCAGTTCTCTAATCTACTTCTCCTTGGATCATGAACCTTTCAGAGTTGGGATGGAGAGCTTTCTCTCGCTATCAATTTCAAGAAAAATGGACCAAATGTCAGTCCTTTTGAGCTGTGTCCTCTACCCTTTGAAACAACTCTATCTTTGAAAGAATATCTCCCTCTCCCTCCCCCTCCCTCCCTCTCCCTCTCTCTCCCTCCCTCTCTCTCTCTCTCTCAAAACAATTGAGTCTCAAATGATAAAATCTGACTAAAAAAAATTGTCAGGTCTCAGGATGTCAAATACCTTAGCACTAACAAAGAACAAACAATGTAGGATGAGTTTAGATATGGTCCAATTTTGATTGTCTAGTTGTTTAAATAGTGAATATAAATCATATCTGAATCAAGTTGTGTAATGCCAATACCTCGTTTTGATTTTGATTTGTTAGCTGCTGTTGTTTCATTTTTTCCCTTGGTAGTAACATTAAATTAATATTAGAAGAGACTTGTGTCTTTCTCTGAAATATAGATTATCTATATTTTAAGTGTATTTATTTGATATTTGTTAGCGCAATAGAAAGAATGATTAAGAGACAGTTAAATATACTGACCACTACTTCATTATTATTCTTCCAATTCTCTTCCATTCTCTTTCAAATAGCTCCATTCATTTCTTCAAGGCATTTCTTTCAACAATTCAGCTGGGGAGAGAGTGTTCCTGAATGAGAAAGGGGAAGCAACAAGTGGATTCGACATCACCAACTTTATCACTTTTCCAAATAGATCCTTTCAGAAAGTCAAAGTTGGAAAGATTGATCCTCATATTCCCAATGCGAAGGAATTAATCATTGACGAAGATGTGATTGTGTGGCACCCAGCTTTTAACCAGGTGTGGACTCATTTAATCAACTATTCCTTGATGCATTATGATCTAATACTTAACATAGTCTCTTTAGAAATCTAATTTGTGATTTTTGAAATGGCATATTCTGTACAAACATTGACAATGATCAATCTTTCATCAAATTGACAAAATGACATTACAATTTAAAAGATAGGTATTCACATTTGGGTTGCATTTCCATTTGAAATCCTAAGATACTGTTCCCATAATATTGTAATCACATATATTTCTTTATTCACCCTGCCATTCTCCAAATACACCCTTTGCTCATACTTATAGTGTCAACATTTTAATGTATAGTTAAAAAATGTGATGGCTCAGTGGTGAAAGACACTGAGAAGCTGAAAAGCTGCCAGCCCGGGTTTGAGATCTGAGCACTATGCAATAGTGTGAGCTCCCATTCCTGCCTCAGCTCCCGTCCACCTAGGAATTCAAAAGCATGCAAATGTGAGTAGATTCATAGGTACCACTTTGGTGGGAAGGTAACAATATTCCTTGTCATATAGCCATGGTGGCTACATGACCATGGAAAATATCTTTGGACAATGCTGGCTCCCTTGGTCAAGAAACGCTGTGAACTCTGTGTCCTAGATTTCAACACAACTGGATGGGGAAACCTTTACCTTATAAATATACCTGGAATAAGCCTTTGAGAATTCAAATATTCTTCCTCTCACCATAAAGAAGAACAATAGAAATTGCTTAAAATTTTCTCTTTGCAAAAATCTTTTATGTTTATCACCAGGTTCTTCCAATTTCTGTGTGTAATGACCCTTGCTCCCCTGGATCCTGGAAGAAAGGGTTGGAAGGAAAACAATTCTGTTGCTACGACTGTGTTCCATGTCCAGAAGGGAAGATTTCAAATCAAAAGGGTAGGTTAGACATTCCAGCAAGTCCTCAATAGAAGCAAATTGTAATTCACTACTTTAGTGTAGCAAGTAGTTTTGTGAGTTCTTCAAGGTGAGTATCCATTTCTATACCTGTGAATCACAATGCCATGAGAGCTGAGCTTTTATATCCACCCCTACAGATTTCTTCTCTGTGTTTTGGAAAAATGGGAAACGTCAAAAGGGTCTAAATTTTAATAATTTTGAAAATTTATTAGACAGGATTGAATAATTGCCCTTTCCATTGTACTTATTTTATGGTGATCCCAGGTGATACAATGATGGAAAAACTGCATTTCCCTAGAAACATGATCCAACTGGTAGCCAATAGAAAAAAAATGGGAGGGATAACAGTTGGCACCCATAAAATATTATTTTCAAAAATATGGAATGTATAAAATCATGCCTTGATTTCCCTTCCAGATATGGATGACTGTTTTCAATGTTCAGAAGATCATTATCCAAATAAAGAAAAGAAAGGATGTATCCTGAAACTGGTGGTGTTTCTAACCTTTGAAGAAACCATAGGAATTGGTTTGGCCTCGGCAGCTCTTTGTTTCTTCCTCTTGACATCTTGGGTACTTGGAATTTTTATTAAGCACAGGGATACTCCCATTGTCAAAGCCAACAACCGGTCCCTCACCTACACCCTCCTTGTCTCTCTTCTGCTCTGTTTTCTCTCCTCTTTGCTCTTCCTCAGCCAACCTGGCAAAGTGACCTGCCTTCTCCGGCAACCAACTTTTGGCATCACCTTCTCAGTGGCCATTTCCACTGTACTGGCCAAAACCATCACCGTGGTTGTGGCTTTCATGGCCACTAAACCTGGTTCTCAGATGAGAAAATGGGTGGGAAAAAAATTGGCCTTTTCTATTGTCCTTTTTTGCTCCCTCTTCCAAGTATGTATTTGTACTATTTGGTTGTTCTCATTCCCTCCATTCCCTGAGTTGGACATGCACTCAGAGCTCCAGGAAATGATTTTACAATGCAACGAGGGGTCAACTTTCTTCTTTTATTGTGTCTTGGGATACATGGGTATCTTGGCCATCACCAGCTTTATTGTGGCTTTCTTTGCCCGTAAATTACCCGGCAGCTTTAATGAAGCCAAGTTCATCACCTTCAGCATGTTGGCCTTTTGCAGTGTGTGGATCTCCTTCTTTCCAGCCTATCTTAGCACAAAAGGCAAAGCCATGGTAGCTGTGGAGGTCTTCTCCATCTTGTCCTCCAGTGCTGCATTATTGGGATGCATATTTTTGCCAAAATGCTACATCATTGTTTTCAGGCCTGAGCTAAACCACCGGGAACAACTTATAAAGAGAATGTAGGGCATCATGTGTTCTTTCTGGCTATGGAAATGATTAACAGAACAAAAAGAGTAGAGTGCTGCTATCTACAGGAAATTATAGATGTCATTGTTTCTGTCAAACAAGATTTTAATGATTTAATTAAAGTTTTCATGAAGGATCACTCTCCATCAACCAATGTATATCTACTGTACCTAATTATCCAATTTTAATAATGTTGCAATTTAGGGACATTATATAAAACATAATCTTCCTTCTAACTCATCCCATTAGAAGTATATGCTGACCATTGACCATAATAAATTTTGATTTAATTTGGTTTGATTTGGGTGTGTCTTCCACTAGTCTTTTGGATAAGACCCTTTCCATCATGCAATGGCTAATAAAATACCACATCAGGCTAGAAAGCAGGAGACCCTGAGTTCCAGTCCTGCCTTAGCTATGAAAGTCATCTGGCTATCTTTAGGACAGTCCTTCTCTCTCAGCCCAACCCACCTCACAGGGTTGTTATTTAGGGAAAATAGGAAGATGAAAGTGTGTTAGATATTTTCAATGCCTTGAGTTATTTGTAAAAATAATAAAATCTATATGTGTGTGTGTATGTGCATGTTTGTATACTTATATGTGTGTGTTTGTGTTTTAATTCCATGATGTCAGTATTGCTGACATTAGCATTCTCTGCTGGAAAAGTGGATGAATTCCTCGTCCAAAGGGCTATTTGATTTAATTCCTTAATAAGTTAAAAAAAAGTTTTGTCTTCTCTATTAAACGACTCTGTTCATTTTACATGGTTAATGGGAGTCCTGCTCCATTGTAAGAAACGAACCTGAATTTGAACAATGGAACCTATATTTATTGTAATTCTCCCTTGATCATCTTAACTGACATCTTCTCAATATTAAGTCATGAGACACTTATTATCTCACCAATACCAAAATAATTATTTCCTACAGGAATTGCAATATTTTCTTAGTTAGGCCCAAGCTTGCTGAGCAAAAACAAAATTCAACAACAATCAAGATGCAAGCATCTGTTTGTTTATAAAATATCTCTTGAATCACAGGGAAATGGGCACAAGGGGGGAAATGGGCCAGTTGGATTCATTGTTATAGGGAGCTTTCTGCCTCTCCCTTCTGCCAGAATGTCTATTCACACCCTGATGATAGCCAAGATTTGAATTAGCACTCACATGGATCCTCAAATAGATATTGGTGGGTTTTTGTCATTAAGTGCACTCTCAGGCATAAACCTTAGCTCAATCATTGGACGACCATTGGATTACTTTCCTACAGGGGTGAAATCAGTGGTGGGTTGCTCTCGGTTCAGTCCGGTTCTTGCGAACCGGTAGTAATGGTGGTGGCTCTGCCCACCCACCCGGACGTCATCATGAATGATCTGCGCATGTGCAGAAGCATGTGTGCATGCGCACTCCCATTGCGAACTGGTAGCAGAGGTAAATAGAAACCACCCCTGGGTGAAATCTGGCAGATTCTGACAGGTTCTGGAGAATCGGTAGCAGAAATTTTGAGCAGTTCGGAGAACTGGCAAACACCATCTCGCTGTCCCCAGAGTGGGGTGGGAATGGAGATTTTGCAGTCCTCCTTCCCCCAGGAGTGGGGAGGGATTGGAGATTTTGCAGTATCCTTCCCCTGCCACGCCCACCAAGCCACACCCATCAAGCCATACCATGCCCACCAAGCTACTCCCACAAAACCAGTAGTAAAAACATTTGAATTTTACCACTGCTTTCCTATAATTTGATAAAAGAGATGGACATTTTGATCCTTCTGATATTCCTGGGGCACAAACAAATATCCCTGAGCTGCCCTACAAGAGATGCTTTCCTTGTTCCACATGAGTGGTACCAGCCTGGTGACTTTATCCTCGGTGGGATAGTATCTAAATTTTCTACCATTTTTATGAAATTGAATTTAAGGAACATTCCTCTCTAATACAGTATGATTTACCAATGCAAGAATTTTTTTTTCTTCCCATGAATTTCATAATCTTAACTACAATCCCAAAAAATAGTTATAGGAATGAAAGGTTTTATATAAAATCTATGGCTTCTCTGTATTTCAAATATACAGTATCTGGTTTCCAGCTTCGTTGCATTTCAAATGAATCCTTTCTGCACTCTGGAAAGAGTGCAGAAAAGAGCAACAAAGATGATTAGGGGCCCGGAGGTTAAAACATATGAAGAAAGGTTGCAGGAATTGGGTATGTCTAGTCTAGTGAAAAGAAGGACTAGGGGTGATCTCGCAGGTGGGTTGGCCAGCTGGATGCACTATTTGGCCACCCTCCCACTTTTTCCAACTGTCTATCTTTGCCTGCCCACAGCCACAATGGGGAAGGGGAGGTGTACAGTACAACCAGAGGGCCAGCTCATCTTTGTCCTCTCATGCCTCTACTTCTGCCTGCTGTCATTGCTGCTGTGGTGTGGCAAGATGAGACAAGTGGCAGAGGATGGCACCATGGTGTGGCCCCTGCATGCTCGACCTCACTGTCCAACCACAGAGGCATGGGTGGAGGCACTCAATCTGGCCTGCTGCAGGTGCTGTGTAGCTGCCTGCCTGGTCATGGCCAGAGGCAAGCAAAGGCAGACTGTGGGATGGAGTGGGCAGCTGACCACACAGCACATCTGGTTGGTCAGAGCATGTGCCTCCCTCCATGCCTATAGCTCCACCTGCTGTTGGAAGGGCCAGCCTAGCAGTCACAGCATCAAGACTCATCTGTGCTGCGTGGGCTGCACACCTCCAGAGTGCCCTTGCTAAGTGCCCCAGACACCATCGGCCCCTGCATGATTCCCCTGTTCGCACATTGGGAAGGGTGGCCAATCAGGCTGGGCCGGGGCCTGGGCAGTGAAGTTGATCCCTTGCTATCTGCAGTGCAGGCCCGTAGGCCAGATATGGGACCATCCGGCCAGCGGGCGTTGTTTTTGACATGTCTGTTGTATATGTAAAAAAATAGGACATCACCTGAAAATAAGCCCTAATGCATCTTTTGGAGCAAAAATTAATATAAGACCCGGTCTTATTTTGGGGAAAATATGGTATTATTTTAGTCCCATTGTTTTAAATATATAACTCTGAAATCGTCAACCATAGCTCTAGTTGCTCATTTTCAGCAGCAGGAAAAAGGACATTGGTACTCTAGAGATAGAAATAAAATTTGTGTGTGTTTTTCTGTGTGTTGACTTCTCTAAACCATTCACAGGTCCTCCAAGCAATTCAGTTTCCATGTCAGCAAATTCTAGTTCAAATTAAAATTATCTCAGCTGTGAAAAGAGCTGCGATGGTTTGTGAGAAACTCTCTTGAGGCCTGCAACTCTCAAAGGCCTGGAAGTTGTCTTCTTCTCAACACTGAGGCTGAGGAAACATCTAAAGGCAAATTGCAAAGTCATTATTCTGAAAAATAAACAATGGCATAATAAGATGTCTGTCGAATTGGGCATTAGTTATCCTACTGTGGCATGCTTATAGCCAGCAGATACGAACATTTATATTTTTAGTTTCTAATTCAACCCAAGAATTAACACAAGCTCTACCAGGAGTGGCATCAGTCAGCCAGCAGGACTGTCTGTATTATAATTGCACACCAGAGTATCACTTAGTGATGTCTGTGAAGATTCTCAGTCATCCAGGTCACAGTTGTCCTAAAAGTGCTTTTTCAAAAGGCAGCTGGACTTTGTTTTTCCATGAGGAAAAATGTCTCCCTTGAAAAAGCATCTTTAGGATCACTTAATGATAGAGTTATTAGCGTTCGCAGAAGAACAGCTGAGGAAGAAAAGCTGAAATGCTCACTTGGTAGTTCTCCTAATCTCCCCCTTCTTCATATCTAACTTTTCTGATGAGGCAATTAGTGAGCTGCAGTCCTCCTCCTGCTTTTTAAGAAATTATCCTCTCTGTGATTATGTTGCAGGAATTTTAGTCCTGTGTTTTTGAAATGTCAAAATTTAAACCAATACAAACACACTAAAACTATTTGGGATTTGTTTCCTGGATCATTTAATGACAGTATGTGAACTTTAAACTGACAAATCCATACAGCTCCCCTCCATTCCATATTATGCAAAGATATATCAGCACCCTTTTTTTATTCAAATAAAATTTGAAATGCAATGAAAAATAAAAAGATAATATGATCAGATAAAAAGCACATCCCTAGCATTTAGCATTGCCTTTATTTTTGAGAATATCATGTGGGTCCTCTATGAGCTCTCATGCCAACGTGGGATAAAGCTATTAATAATAATAATAAAAAAAACATTGTCCAAGCAGTTGCTATGAGTTAATACTACTTTGATACTACAAACGTACAAATGATTCTGATTTTAAAGATCAGAAATTAGATTGCAAAGGATATAGAGCAAAAGTTTGTTTCGTGTGCAGGCTGAAGTCATAAGATACATAAAAAGAACTTTGGTTAAGTTATCCCAAAGGTGTTTTTCAAAATTGAACAGCCCTCTCTCAACAGAGGGAGGAGGGGATAAGACATCATCTAATGCAGTGATGGCTAACCTTTTTGCCATTGCGTGCCAAAAGCTGGGGGAGTGCGGAGTAGTCACACGTGCGCGTGGCCACACCCATAATTCTAGGTGCCCTGCCCCCCAAAGCATGCGCGCGCGATCCCATGCTCCCCCCCACTTTTGGCATGGGACAGCATGGTGGGCACGATAGGCCCATTTTTTGCCCTTCCCAGGCTCCAGAGGCTTTCTAGGAGCCTGGGGAGGACGAAAACAGCCTTCCCTACCCCACCGGAGGCCTTCCAGAGGCCAGAAACAGCCCGTTTGCCAACTTCCAGTTTGCCCAGAAGGCCCAAAAATCAGCTGGCCAGTGCCCACATGCATGCTGGAGCGTTGCTTGGGCAACGCTCGCATGCCGAACAATATGGCTCCGCGTGCCACCTGTGGCATGCGTGCCATAGGTTTGCCATCCTGGATCTACTGTATCTCCAGTCTACAACACAGTCCTTTCAACAGTTCCATGAAGGCTCCACACCCATTTGCACCACTCAGGTGACCCTGATGACACAGAAAAACCTCCAGGTGACCTTAACAACCCTCTAAAAGGATGCAAATGACCAGCTGCCTACAAGGAGTATAAATCCTTCCATTCCCCACCATCCAGTCAGAGCTAAAGAAGCTTCTTGGAGGAGAACTGAAACATATTCAAAGAAAAACTAGAAAGTGCAGTTGCCTCCTCTGGGACAACCAGGACCTGAATGACTGAGAATTTTCATAGACATTGGTTATATTAGTACACAGATGAAATAACTTGCAGCAAAATTAACCAGAATAACTGAATTGGAAGGAATCTTGGAGGTCTTTTAATCCAACTCTATATCATTTCAGAAAAAATGGTTTTATGTCAGTTAAGGATTATGTCTTTCATCCAATGTAAATGTATTTTTATAAGGCACAAATGGACTTTTATATATAAATGGATATAATAAAAGTTTGAATTCTGGTCATAACAAATGGCTCTTTCTTGCATTGTTCTGCAGCCTTGATCAGGGATTAATCCAAAATAAGTGTTAATGTAATGAAATCAACTTTCCTGTCTCTTCTGCCACATATTAATTTGGTAGCATATAATCTAA